ATATTCTCTCATGATCAAATGTCAAGGTTACATTTGATCTTTCCTTCTCCCTCCCCCACTGCTCAACTAAATTCATTCTTTTCAATACTACCTGCATTTTTCCTCTCTATGCCTACAGACTCCAGGCTAATTCAGAATCTTTACACTTCATATAAATACCATATTGCCATAACATTTACAACCATTTCTCCTATTATAAAACAGAGTGGTCTGTTACCATGAAGCCATGTATCATATCACCTCCATACTACTATTTCTATAGTAGCAATTTGATTATGGTCCTTGACTACATGATCGAGCCCAAAGTCTTTAATCTTCAATAATTAAGCTCTAAAATTTTTCACCTTACCTCTTCTCTCACTTCTATACAGTCTGTTATTTAGCCAATCTGGTCTACTTGACATCCAGAAAACATATTCATGCATTTCCCACCATCTGGAAGACATCATTCTCCTCCTGACTCTCTAAGGTTCATTTTAAATTTTACCCTTTCTCTTGCTGGCTAACCTGAAAGTGCTCTTACAGGAGCTAAGAGCAAAAGGAAGAGTTATCTCCTCTATCTGTAAAATTAACTTGAGACACTAGAATTTTGGGGAAAACTGAGACCAAAGGACAGTGCAAATACTTTTCTTTTTGAACATTCCAATTTCAACTTACCTTTATTATCTCCTTCCTCCCAGGAAATACGTCAGCCACATGGGCTTAGAGTTTAGTAAGGAAGACTGACTGCACATGAATCATACAAACCAGTAACTGTTGATGAGTGCTACAGAGAAAAGGGAAAGGGCAGGTGCACTGATGTCTATGTTTTGTGCAGCGGAGGGAAGGGCTAAGACATGAAGTTAGTCTAGTGTGAGAGAGAGGAAAGGAATTAATTCAGTTTGGTAAAAGACATAGGGTTTCCCTCAGTGGAGGAAAATCTTTCAAGCACATGTGAAAGAATGAGTACGAATTAACTCTGAGAGTCCAGGGAAAGACAATTTCACATAATGAAAATAAGGCCAGGATACGGGAGTTTAATGAGAACTCCAAGGAGTGAACCTGCAAAGGCAGGGAGGGATGAGAGCATGCTAGACTTTAAAGGTCATGCTGAAAGCTTTTGGGGTTTTAGCCTAAGAACAAATAACAGCATGTTCTAAGATACTTCAGGTCAGTCCCATGGCTAGGCCTTGGATGGGTAAGAAAGAAAAAAGCAACTACAAAATCACAAAGAATTCTAGTTTTATTATAATTGAAACATTTTCTGTACCCCTACAAGTCTTCTTTGTGTATGCAATCTCATGTAAAGTCAAGTCGACAAAAAAACAAGAATATGAATTATGATGTACTTTCAGTTGGTCCGCTTGCTTTGACAAGAGGTGATGTATGTATATCTATGTGTGTACCTATAAACACGTAAGGGAATTCAAGCCAGTTTTAAATTTTTAAATGGGAAACATTTCAAATATTAACAATCCAATGAAAAACTCCATTTCACTGTTTGGCTATACATTCGTGCTGTACTTAAAGTTAAAGGGTCATTTTCTTGCTTTTTTTTTTTTTCTTAAGATCCCTCATAAGAGAAAAGATTGTAAGAAAATAACACAATATTTTAAAGAATTATTTTAATACTAATTGCTTTTGGTCTCATCTTGTGTATAGCAGATAATGAATCTCAAAATGCAATTGCAAATTTATTTCTTCAAAAATTACAATGACATCAAGAGTAAAGATGAATAAGTTAGGGCTACAAAATTATTAATAAAAGAATGACAGCTAGAATATTTTGAACAAGTTCTGTGTACTGGGAACAATGTTGAACACCTTAATACCTATTAACTCATTTAATTCTAATCACTCTGAGAGGGGCTGAGATTTATAGAAATAAGCAAGCATTTCCTAAACCATAGGCACCTTAGACCTGTGTTGTTCAGTATCGCAGCCTATGGCCATATGTGGCAACTGAGCACTTGAAAAATGGCCAGTTGATCAAGACACACTACAAAGCCCACATACCAGATCCCAAAGGCATAGTATGAAAAAGGAAGCAAAGTATCTCATTCAAAATGTGTGAATATTGATAGTGTGCTGAAGTGACAGTATTGTGGATGTAGTGGGTTAAGTATTATTAAAATTATTCTCCCTATTTGTGTTAATTATTTTAATCACCTACTAGAAAATCCCAATTACCCATGTGGTTCACACTCTATTTCTATCCAATACTGTTGACCTAGTCCACAGGCTGGATACTGAACTGACCAGCAGACACCAAACTGAAAGACAGACTGGCACAGAACAGGATCCAGGGACTCAAGCAGATCTTAGTTTAATGTCCACCCCATCAATGAATGGGCTTGGGTAACATACCAAATCTCTTTGCACTTCAGGGAGGTCATCTGCATTGTGGTGACATCAAGTATCTCCAAACAACTATTGTGTATGATTGCAAAGCAGCTAGCTGACACAAATGAGAAGAAGCCATTACTGTTTTATACCAGCTGTTAAGTTCAAAAATTGGCCGTCAGAAGAGAAGAAAATTCACATATTTGAAAGTCATGCTTTAGTTCTAAGTGTGAGCAGTTAACACTCCTGTTTTAAGTTAATAGTATACCTTGAATCTCGTATTATGAGATAATTTAATTTGTTTGTAGGATGCTCTAAGCTGGAAAGCTGAATAATGAAGTTCAAGTGAGGTATAAAACATCCTGTAAAAACAGGATGTAGATACTAGGCGTGGGGGTGCGTGCCTTGCAATACCAGAACTTAGAGGCTGAGGCAGGAGGATCCATGAGCTTGAGGCTGGCCTGGACTACACAGCAAGACCCTGCCTCAAAAAACCAAAACCCCAAAACCAAAATCAAAACAAACAAAAATCAGGAGGAAGAAGTAAGGGTCCAAGTGGTTCTTAGGCATACAAAAGTTGAGAGGTTATGAACTCTGATTCACCTTATGAGTGGTCTTTTTACATCAAGAATTGAGACTATGAGTAAAATGGTATCTAGGTAAGCAGAATTTTATTCTATTTCCTTTTTCTGGGTCATAGTGCAAACAAATAAATTATTTCAAACACAGAATAACTAATTATTATAACAGAAAAATAAATTAGATTAAATCATAAGAAACTACAAAATTCTGCGCACCATCCTATCTAAACTTTGTCATGTTCTTTTCCCTTGTGTCAAGAAGTTAGCCCAGGCCAGGCGCTGGTGGCCCACACCTGTAATCCTAGCCACTCAGAAGGCAAAGATCAAGGATCACAGTTAGAAGCCAGCCTGAGCAAACAGTTTAAGAGACCTAATGAGACCCTATCTGGAAAAATTGCATCCAAAACAAGGGTTGGTGGAGTGGCTCAAAGTGTAGGCCCTGAGTTCAAACCCTAATACTGCAAAAAAAAAAGTTAGCCCAGCATGTATGCTTTATCTGCAGGCATATTTAAATGTGTATTTGATGTATTTGGCCTAAAATTGACATGTGGTAAATGTACATGACTATCCTGTTCTGTAGTTTGCTGCTTTTTAATTAAGTGTGTGTGGGGGGGTAATAATTAAGGATTTGGGTTACTTAAAAGTAGCCCTATAAATGTCCACATACAAAGTTTAACACCCAAACCATTCATCTTTTAACTATAAAACAACTTTTACAAAATGAGATTGGAGAGGTAAAAAGCTATCAAATTCACAGATTTTAAGAACTGACAGACCATGAAAATATTCACTGTATACTAATTTGAAATTTAACACAAGAAATAACATCCAAAATTTTAGTTTAGCTATTAAACTTGTGGAAAGGCTAAAAGTCTACTATCTTGCTGGTGGAGTGGCTCAAGTGGTAGAGCACCTGTCTAGCAAGAGTGAGGCCTTGAGTTCAAATCCTAGTATTGCCAAATCTATTACCTGTAATGAATTTTTGAGCATTCCCTGAATGCAACTGACTTGGTCCTGCATCTTTCAAATCAGTAGATTCAAAGTGACTCATAACGTGATTGTCTACAGTACACTGACAACTTTCAGTAAATGCCTTCAATTCAGAGTTACAGGTAGAATAAGGTAGTAGAAGGATCAGCAGGATTAACTGATAAAGACCAGACAAAACAGTCATGTTTAAGAAAAATTACAAAAATTGGCCAAAAGTCTGGAATAACATGTTATCTCAAATGCTTAAAATTACAGGGAAAAATATACTCCATCAATTTAAGAAAAAAACATTTTAAAGCACTTAAGTTATCAGCCATTTTTTTTCCAAATGTGTACTTCAAAAGAGTCTGTATCAGGAAAAAGCCTATTTACATTAACTTTAAATTTCAAAGGGTGGGTCACACCTTTGAAGAAACTTGTTTTGTGTCCTGGAACGCCTTTTTCTTTTTTAAGGAGAAAAAGTAGCTAGATTTTAAAAGAGCACAGTGAAGCTGCATTCTTCTAAAGTGGATGACATATTTGGCTCCTATATGCCAATACTCACACATTCCCACTGAGCTGTTATGATGTCTTCAAATAATTTGATAATCTGTCTTTAAAGTTTTCGCAGCAAATTAAGAGCTTTTTTTTTTTGCAAAACGCTTTGGCAGCACTAAATCGTCCCCGAGATGAGAACGGTCTCCTTCCTCTCCTACTGACATTTCCCAGTAAGTGTGTGCAATTTCTGCTGTCAAACCTTGCAAAGGTAGCTTTGTGCATGTGTTCAGTCAGCAAACGCAGGTCTACGCCTGCACAGCTCCCCTCTCCCCGACGCACACCCACCCACCCCGGTTCCCCCTGCAAGTAAGTTTTAAACTTTGTTTCCGACGGGGATCTGAACGACTGCTACTGAGGATATCCCGCAGACAAAGAGCTGGGCTGTGGGTTAACGGGATGCCAAATTTTAGTTGTGAAACAAAGCCTACAACTGGAGCTTCTGCGGGAGGAGATCGCGGGGAGCCCGACGCGGGGCGCCCACTCCCCACCGCCCGCGCGGGAGTCCGGCCCCGGATCGGGGCTCGGTGCGGCCGCCCAGCCCCGCGCAGCCCGCGCCCCCGGCCCGCTCACCGCTTCACTCGGATGATCTGATCCCGCATGGGCTTGATGTCCTGGAAGCTCTGCTGGTTGACCAGGCTGTAGACGAGGATGAAGCCCTGGCCGTTCTTGATGTACAGGTCCCGCATGGACGCGAACTGCTCGGTGCCCGCCGTGTCCAGGATCTCCAGTACCGACGGCGACGAGTCCACCTCGATCTCCTTGCGGTAGAAGTCCTCGATGGTGGGGTCGTATTTCTCGATGAAGGTGCCGGTCACGAACTGCACGGTCAGGGCGGATTTGCCTACCCCGCCCGAGCCCAGCACCACCACTTTGTACTCGCGCATCGTCCCTCCGCGGCCGCCGCCGCCCGCAACATAGACCTCCGCCCGCCGCGCTGCGCTGAGCTGCGCCCGGATCCTGTCCGCCGGCGGCCCCGCCGCCTTCCGTCTGCGGCCGCCCCCACCTCAGGGCCGCGGCGGCCCACCGGGCGCCCGCGGCGGGGCGGCAGCTAAAAAAGCAGCGGCCCTGGGCATGGGCCGAGCCGCACGGCGATGCGACCCCGCGGGCGCCGCCAGGGACTGAAGGCGAGCAGGAACCGGAGCCGCCCGAGCCGCGGGCCCGCAGTGCCGACCGCCCCGCCCCTCGCGCCTCCACGCCCAGCTCCCGCCCGCCGCCGCCGCTTCCCCGGCGCTGGAGCGCGCGCCCGAGTCCCAGCCGCAACGCGACCAGGGGCGGGGCCCGAGGCCGGGGCGGAGCCAGGACGCAGCCCCGCCCCCGCTCCCCGTCGCCTAGGCGACCGGCCGCGCGCGCTCCCGAGAGGCCCTGCGTTGCGCGGAAGCTGCTGCCCGCGCTTACATAAACAAGCTCCGCAACCGCCCGGCAGCACCCCACCCTCCACGCGCGACAAACTCCGGGGCCTGCGTACTGCGCGTGCGCGTGAGGCGAGCGCATCGTCGCTCCCACGCTCTGAATTTAGCAGAGACTACGTGGTAGAGGGGTCTGGGCATCGTCCAGGCTCCCGCCTGAGACGGGGAGTGAAGATGCGCACTGTCCAAGGGGATCCCTTGGCTAGAGGACCTCTGCCCGACACCACTCAATCTGTCAGCATTCCAGGGAGCTCTGGTTTTATGTTGCACAAAAATAACGACGTGAGCCTTATTTTAAGGGGCTCCTTGAGGCGCCTGCCTGAGGTTGCATAAGCAAAATGAAGCTGGATTTCCAATGTCAGAACATCCTGGGAAGGGTGACAGGTCCCTGCAGCAGCATGCCCCAGGGGCTGGCTAGTCAGCGGCGCCCAGACAGCACGCAAGCAGGGTCCACGCCCGATGACGTAGCCAGGGTCCCGCCCACCTGCCCTCAGCCCCGCCCTTCTGAGGTCCTCTACTGAAGTTGAGCTCTTCCCATGCCTTTCAGCCATGGGCGCATGAAAAACCTGGAGAGTAGAGTCTCAGCGACAACCGGAAGACCCGGCAACACCTCATAGCAACAGCGTACTGGAGACATCTAGTAGAAAACTAAAATTCATTTTAGCCAATCAAATCACATTTCTGGACCCCATGGTACCACTTATGACCAATAGGAAGACTTCTTATACCACGTGATTTCCCCCCCCTCAACCAATCAATAAAATGTCTAGTCGCAGACTCTGCCAACCCACCTCCCAGAACCTCGTCAGGCTGGGCGTTTGCCCCTATGCACGCTCTGCCAACCAATCGTAGGTGAGCTGATGAATGACGAGGGCTTGGGCTGAGCCAACCAGAACTCGCGATTCCCTTGGCTCCGGGGCGGGTGGTATGGAGACAGGGCTGGGCTGGTGGGGTTTGGGAGGGGTGGAGATGGAAGGGCTAGACGCTGTGCCCTGTTCTGGCAAAGGAACAGGGTGCGTTGGCAGGCGAGAGTGATGAATTCTGCTTTTAACATCGTCTCCGTGGCATTCTGCCTAGATGATGGGCATGGAAGTGGGCTGGATCGTGGGCTGAATCGGGAAAACAGGGACTGTTGTCTATAGGGCGAGAAATTTTCCGGTCCTTAAGGAGACATCCTGTAGCATTTGCATCGGTCCTCTATGCATGTCTCCTAAATCTCTTTTTCTTCTACTCAGTTTCAAAACGTAATGTTCTTTCTCTGCATTAGATCTTAGTTACACAACGTCTGCCCCCATAACATCCTCAAACATCCTGGATTCTTTTTGGCAGTAGCTGGTTATTGCATTTGCCTTCCTTAAACTGTATCCTTTTTGAGTTGGCCACTCCTGGCTGTTTTGTACTACCTTGCATTTCTTGAGAATAATATATTTCTGTAGCTCCAATGTTAGATCATGGTGTACTCTCCACCGGTCTTCTTTCCCACGAGATCATTGTAGAAAGGATTTAGACTGAATTCCTCTAAAAGCCAGGTATTCTTTTGCTACCTTTTCGGTCAGTTCTCAAACTGCAGAAATGTACTCTGATGTAGCAGTGTAGCAGTGTTGTTACTTACTGCCCTTTTAGTCCATTGCATTAGATTGGATACCTCATATTTACATTATCTTGTTATAGTGTAACTGCCAAGTTTTCATTTAAAATAATTTAGGGTAAGTGTCCTGTCGAATCTAAAGTGTAATTTACAGTTGCTTCTGTCTCAGTATAATAGAGTTGTCTCTCCATATCTGCAGATTGGGTCCAGGATGCCCTCCCCATACTAAAATCTTTGGATGCTCAAGTCCCTAACATAAAATGACCCATTGCCTGTTATCTGTGTGCACCGTCCTGTGTATCTTAAATCATCTTAGATTGCTCCGAATACACTGTAAGCCTTATGTAAATAGTTGCTATAGTGTATTGTTTAGAGAATAATGTACAGGTTCAGCACAGACACAATTATATCCTCCCCCCCAAGTTTTGATTTGAAGTTGGTTGAATTCATAGATGCAGAACCCATGGTTAGAAGGCTGAAGTATAACTCAGTCACTATTTCATGATTACATGTTACCAAAATATGAGAAATGAAATCAGAGCTACTGGAATGAGCAGTGGAGAAGAACTGTAAGAAAAAGGAAAGAATTAGGAATGTTTTAAGGGAATTGAAACTTGCAACTGAAGAGGATATCATGTCAATCTAAGCTAGGAATGTAAAGAAGTGAATTAACATTGAAGGAGCTGACGTGGATGCTTCATATCTGAGTTAATTTGGCAGGGATGTTTCAAGAGGGTGTTATAGGTAAATACAGTGTTGGGTATCATTTTAGAAGTTTCATATTTTGTGTAAAATTAGTATGCTTACCTGTGATTGCTACAAATTAGTCATTTTGACAATTAGTCTTTCTGAAGAAAGGCAGACTGTCTCTTGGGAAACCCTAATTGTGCATCTTGCTGGTAGGAAATTCTTAGGCTTTGGGGGGTTAAGTAGAGCCACAAAGCATCAAATTTTCTTTGTATAGATGACAACAGCACATCTAACACCATGGTTTATGGTGGAGCTGAAGATCCACTCACTTTGCAACGAATAAAGGTTCAATGATTTTATGAAGAAATTTGCATTGGGATTGTGAGTTCAGAAGGTGACCCTCAGCAACTATTTTCCTTACCCCCAGGTCTCCCAAAATTGGGAGGCTCTGGATTGAAGTTTACCCAACAGAAGTTGTTACAAAATAGTGACTGGCTCCCTAGTTACTCCACCTAGCACAATAGAGTGGGAGAACTTCTTGACATTTCTCAGACTTTGTTCTCCAACATTTCATCAACTTTCTTGATAAGGAAAGTATAAAGACCACAGTTCATGAGGTAGTTGACATGCACTTATGTTTCTCATGTTGACGGGCCTCAGTTTTTAATTCCTACTGCCATGAAGGGAGTTTTCACCACCAAGAAGCAAAAGATACACAACGGTTGTGTAACTTCCTTAGTTATTCTGGTTTGGATGATGGTATAAATCTGATTTTTTTTTTGTGGCAGTAAGTGAATTACTGGTTGAAATATTAGCTGCTTTAAGAGGATGTCAGGTAGAAAAGTTTGAAAAATTAGTGGAGAGATGATTGTGTATTTCCTGATACCTTAATCATCTTCATTTGTATGCTAGCATAAATTCTATTCTGGAAGTGTTTTCAGACATGATGTCTTAAATCTTTATTCATTTGTTTATAAGAAAGACAAGATAAGAGATGAGATAAGACAAAACTGAATTTTCTCCCAAGAGCAGTAAATCCATGGGATAGTGAAAACCCCATGCTGTACACATACACAACAGGGTCCCTTTGGTTTGGTTCTGGGAAGAAAAATAAAAGAAAGAAAACTTCATTTCTCTTCTCCCCACTGGATCTGAAAAGAGTTATCTCACCTATATCCAGATATCCTCAATTGTCACACTTGGGTTACCATGGAAACCCAGCTCCTTGCTTTCTGTGAAAGATGTTGGAAAGGGTGGAATGAAGTGGGAAGGACAGTGTGTTCTAGGACTTCCTGATACCAGCCAGAAGCAAATCTGCACAGAAGTTAATATAAACAAGGTAGTAGAAGATATTTGTAATATGACCAGTACTTTTGTGGCTATAAAAGCCTGATTCCTCTTGCTTCCTGTTAAATTCTGGATATCTCCAGTTAATCATAAGGGAAGGACATGTCAAGTTCACTTAGCACCTGTGAAATGCTGCTGGCAATTATAAAGGGAACAGATGGAATTTTCTTGGCCTCTGAGGCTCCTAATACAGTTGGAAAAAGATTATGTACATATTATGTTTTATATAAAAGATGGAAAAGAAGGTACAAAACCAACTTTTTTTTAAGAAAGTGGGATGTGCCTTGTGCTTTTTAAAATAGAAAGAGTGCAGACATTGAGCATGTCAGTGAAAAAAAACCTATTTGTTGAGAAAGCAAATATTTCAAAAGCCAACTTTAAGGAGGAAGTATTTATGAAAGAAAAACCTTTATGAGTAAAATGTCAGGAGAGAAAAGAGCCCAAGGAATCTGAAGAGTGAGGTTCTGTGGGACACTGAGCTTTAGTGTGCTTCACGTAGCAGCAGAAGAGCGGGTGCAGTGTTGGCTGCATACCCAGCAGTCTCCATTTATTTTTGCTAAGGAAGCTGGGATGAATCGGAATTGACCACTGATAGCAGTGCTTTCTCCTCTGTGTATGGTTCATCCCCCGGTAGACACGTGACTCAGTTCCCATTGGAATGAGAAGGCTGCTAGGGTTGGGGATTTCTGGGAATCCAACAGGAGTGAAAAGATAGTTCTAGTTTTGATAGCATACTTTGGACTGTGAGAGGGTGACCTCCCTCTTGGGGCTGTGACACCTTCTAGGTGAGGTAAAAGCCAACCAGCCTTGGATGAGAAGGACGGGAAGACCCTGTGTCTTGACTGACAACACTGGACTATCAAACTAGCACTGGAAATGCCCATCTTTGGGCTGTGGCAAAGTAAACAACTAGCGTCCTTTGATTTAAGTCTGTGTCAGGATTTTTGCACCTCGCATTCAAATACATCCTAATTGTTAGAAATAGTGTGAAAAACTCCAGAAAAGAAAGTGTTTTAAAAAAAAATCAAAACAGGCTGGTAGAGTGGCTCAAGTGGTAGAGCACCTGCCAACCAAGCATGAGGTCCTAAGCTCAAACTAGTACTGCAAAAAAAAAATCAGCAAGC